ACAATGGAAAAAGTTCAGAGAGATGGAATCATGACGCAGATCTGACACTGTACTGCTGGTTCTAAGATGTGAGGATATCCATGCAAGGGACCCAAGAGAGTCATCTAGGAGATCAAAGAGACCCTCCAGCTGATAGCCAGCAAATAAACAGGAACCTCAGTCCTGTAGCCACATAAAACTAAGTTCTCCCAACATTAAATGACCATAAAATGGACTTCTCCAAGAATAGCCAGAAAGAAACAGAGTTTGCCAGCACCTTAGCCTTAGGAGACCCGCCTCGAACATCTGACATACAAAACTGTAAGAAAATACACTTGTTTTGCTTAAGCAACAGGGTTTGTGGTAACTTGTGATAGCAGCAATAAGAAATGAATACAATGGCAGGAGATGGAATTTAGGAAAATACCTTACTTCCTAACTCCGCAGGCAGGGAGTTCTTCAGACAAAGGATCATACCTGGGATCTCTGTTTCTATGGCATTGATAACCCACCTCCAAAACCTGAGATTCATGAGTCACAGGTCATATTTAACAATTTGTGTCTTAGGCCCAGAAAGCTGAGTAGCATTTTGTCAGGGTTATGATACCCAGAGACATGGGATGCCAGTTTTAGCATAATGTCTCAAAGCATATTGAAGAATTTTGAGAACCTTACAAAGGAGGTTTATGGTTTGCAAATTTAAAACTCGTAACACAAATAATTTTGCTCCCATGTGTTCCCCTCTCCTTCCAGGGAAATTTTACCTAAAATAATAAATGCTGAATTTGTCACACTGACAGTACTTGAACTAAGAACCATAATATTATAAATATGCTCCTCTAGAATATCAAGATTTGGGAATAACCTGGCCCAAGGCCAACATATCTTGGTCACTATGGTTGAACTTCAGTGTAGTGTTCAAAAGCAGTGTTAGTTGAGAGAAACTGGTGTACAGGTCTGGAACTTTTTTGAGGATGAAAACCTTTAAATTTTATGTGTCACTTGGGGTAATATGAGATACATTTATCCAAAATGGATGAACCTAGGGGAGTAGATCTCAAACAAGAGGTTTGCATGAAGCAGGTGAATGAGCTTAGTCATGAGGGTCTCCTGAATGTGATCTCCAGAACTGCAGGAGATGTTAAGATCACAATTAAAATACATGAAAGGAGGCAATCAAAGTCTGTCTGTTCAACACATTCCTTTACTGGAGAGGATGTTAAAGAACAGGTTTTAGCAGTTTTTAAAATTCATCATAATCCTAATTTTATTTTCTCTATGTCGGTCTGTAAGTGGCATCTAAATTGAGTTCCTCCTCACCAAGTGTCTACCCCAATCTGCTGTGCCCTCAGGCACTGCATTACTTTTCATGAGTCAGAGCACTAACCATGTTGCCCATGTTAAAACACTTCATTGCTCCCACATGGTGTTTGAGCACAAACATCATATCCAGGTTCAAAGTCCTCTACAATATGTCAATCTGTAACTCTCAATATACCTTCCACTACTTTCCCCATAGCGCTAAGGTCCAACCAAGCCAAATCTAGAATCTCTCACTATTTCCCAAACACACCCACATATTTTTCTGCCTCTAAACATTTGCGTGAACTTTTGTTCACTCAAAATTCCAACAGTCCACCCTTTGGGTTAAAAACCTCCCAAAATTTAAAGATGTGTATGCTACCACATTCTCAAGAACTTTTTAACTACAATACCACATTATTTAAAGGAATCTTCATAGAAATTTGTAGAAATTATTTTTTGCATTGCATTATAGGTTTTTGATAGTTCTCTTGACCTCTCTACTCAATGGGAAGCACTCCTCACCTTTATATCCCCTTCGACAGCAGAGATATAGAGCACTTCATAAACGTTTGCTAAATTGAATTTAGGTAACTCTTCCCAGTTACTAAAACTAAAACTCTTTTAAGTTATATATATATATATACACATATATATAACTTACTTAATTACTCTTTTTATACTTAAAAGAGTAATTTATATTATCTAAATGTATTTTATATATTTATATATCTTTATATATATAAATATATATGTATGTCAAAAGTGATTAGAAAAGATTTTTAAGAAACTGAAATTTTGTTTAAGTGCAATCATAGCTGTTCAGAGTGGGTTTCCAGGGATGCCTTGAAATAGTAACTGAAAATTTGTTTTTATGTAACCAAACATTTTACTCTTCTCCAAGACATATTACAGCAAAATTAGGTTACTCCTTATTAGAACATAACATCCGTAAGAACAATCATTGGGCCAGGCTTTATGCTATTGAAGTTTAAGGAAGATGCATGTGACATGAACAAGTAGACACTGGAAGAAATTACCTCTTTTGATCTTGTAAATATAATGATTTCAACTAGCTCAAACTAAAATTAGTATGTTCATTGTGATTCATAGTATTAGAATTTCAGGGGATTAACTTTAAAAGGGCATGGTGTACCTAATACAGCTGCTCTGAGGCTGGACCAAAATAACTATCCTTGCTTGACCCTTTGAGTTTTAGATCAGTAGCAACAGGCCAGAACTACACTAAGAAAAATGAACTATTTTTACTAAGTCAACTGCCCAAAACATACAAAGCCAGGCTATCTATCTACCTATCTATCATCTATCTACCTATTGTGTCTGTCTATCTAATCTATCCATCTTTTTGTCCATTTATCTATCTACACTAGCTCATCTTTTATGCATTGCAGTAATAATATTGGTATATATATATGTACATATGAATATATATATTGAGCACTGACTTTGTGCAAAATACTCTTTAAGTGTTTTACATGTGGTAAGCCTCATAACAATTCTGTATTGTTATTATCCCATTTTACAGATAAGGAAATGGAGTTAAGTAACTGCATATGTTCACACAGTTGATTTAAATCCTGGAGAATTTCCTCTAGAGGCAAAAATCTTAACAACGGTATAATACACTACCTGAGCATAATTTTGTTTATTCACAGAGGTTTGGAAGGTCTCTTAAAGCTACTCTACTTCTAGAAAGTACCTACAGGGGATTATCTTAGAGGTGAAGGCCCAGACGTCTGTAAAAACATAAAAGACAACCTGCTTTATGTTTCTATATTACTAACTATAATATTGGAACTACTTGTTGAAGGTGAAATTGAGAGGCTACATTTAAAGCACAGAAAAAGTGCGCAAGCTGGAAAGGCACACAATGGGCTGTGTATAAGGATTTCTTCATTGTCCGGGTAAACACAGAACATCAGGCAAACATAGTCACAATATTTGCAGGGGCAGATTTCGCCCTAGGCCCTGTAGCACAAGATTCGAAGGGCATCAGTCAGAGTGATGAGAATGGAAAATGAGCACAGTTGTTTCATTTAGCTCTGAGATGAAGAGAAGAAATTTGCCTTCTACAGGAACACACACACAAGCAAACGAAACTTTGGGTGACTCAGTACAGCATTTTGAATCAGGGAGGAAAGAATGCAGTGACTAAGATGTTATGGATAAACAACAAATCACTTTCCATGGGAGATTAAAAAAGAGCACTATCTACCACAGCATTTTCTCTGCATGATTTTAAGAAAAGGAACCAGAGAAGCTTCTTCAATAGGGGAGTTTTATCTAATGACTCCCATAGGTAGTTTCACTGGCTGAAGACTGCATCTTACTTCTTTTCCAATGAAAGAACAATACAAAATGCCCTTTAAAAATGTATTAAGAACTCATGATATTGAAGGGGCCTTGCCAGAGGTAATAAAATCCAGAGAAGCTAGGTAGAAGTTGAATTTGGAATGAAATATTAAACAATACTTAGTTTTCATCCCAAAGGGATGCCCTTAATAATACTGCAGCTTATGGGACTAATGAAGTTAAAATAACACATTATGGCATTCACTATTTTTAAAGAGTTGAGCTGCAGCCTTCACAGAATAAACAGCCACACAGAAGCACCTGTGCTCCTCTGAATTACTTATATGACTATTTTTTCCACTGCCAAACAGTCTGCATATTAAGTATTCCATCTATGCTCTTCTAGACCCAGGTGCCAAGAAAAAAACATTTTGTTAAAAACTCATTCTTGATCTCTGCATGTTAGTGTTGGACTCTTTATTCTTAGCTACATTGTGGGTAAATAAGTTGTGTTTTTTTTCCTGCAAATATGCCAAATCCTGGCTGGAATGCACTGTGTTGTCCTTTTACTAACAGAGCGCCTGTATCACTTACAATGACCTGATTGAGGTTCTTGGCCTTAAGTAAATGGCATATTTAGGTGAAACTGGTACAGGTCAGAGTTGTTCTCTATGAAGAAATACCTTGACCCTTTCCAAAATCAGGGCCCAAATCACTCCTTAAAAATGTGCAAGGTAATGAATTTATTTTTGCTCCACCCTTACAAAATACCAAGTTTTACTGAAGCTAAAGATTTCAAGCTGCTAAAACAATGCAAAAGCAATTGCTCCTAAGTAAATAGGGACCTACTTATTTTTTTCTTATCACAGTTCTTGATATGCATTTATATCTGTGAACTATATCCTAAATATAAGAGGACAAATCAGAGACACAATCTGTCCCCTGGAATTTAGGAAACTATGTCCCTGTATTACCTTAGTAAAAATAAAACACAGGCTTGCAAATATTCTGCAATATGTTCTGCAAATATTATGATTATCACTAATTTTGGGGGTAGAGGAACACAGCAAAATAAATCTATTTGCAAGGAAGTTGAGAAGTTGAGTCTGTAACAAGAAACTAAAATACAGATATGTGAGATTTATAATTAAGTGAATAAATATTACAAATATTATTTCTACTTAAGTTTGAACCTTGGGGTGGAGGAAAGTGTTGTAATACATGATTCCGGAATTGACTAGCAAAGGAATACCTTCACAGATGGTAATAACTTCCTTGATGACCAAGTGAGCAGAGGCCTGTCCCTTTCTCTCCCTGGGGGAAATGGCAGAAACCCCAGAAGAAAGTGTTTCCCTTCTTCCTCAGGTGGCCGTGCGTCACGGAGAGGAGAGAGCGTCCTCCCTTACCTGCACAGGTCCTCCCGTCGTAGGTGTCGCACACCCACTCGTGGCATTCACACAGAGGCCCGAAGTACACTCCTGGTTCATTCACGTGACAGATGCAGACCCCGCAGTCGCACCGGCCCCGGCCGTGGCACAGAGCGGCCCCTGGGGGCTGTCCGGGAGCCCGGCACCGGCGCTCTGACTCTGCCTGGGACAGCCTGCACATGACACCTGACCCGCTTCTGCATGGGGCGACAAACCACAGTAGGGCCACAGTCAAGCTCAGACACTGCTCCTAGTGCTTGGAGCCCACTTTCCTCCCAGATGGAGACATAGAATCTCTGAGGCCCCACCTTTCTCTAGGGGCCAAGGTCCCTTTAGGGGTGCTGTCTTACCTCAGGCTGTCACCTGAGAAATGACTGTGACCCAAAATGTCTAACTAATGACCTTCCAGTTGGAGAGAGGTGATCCAGCCCTGCCCTTGGAAGTTTGTCTTGAATCTTATATGCACAATTAGATTACATACAAGTTAATCCAAAATATGACACTTTGCTGCTTTGTTAGTCCTTTTTGAAAAGTCCCATTATTATCTAATGGCGAGGGGCAGTTAGTTTATGCAAAAGAGGAGGTGAATATATAGAAGCAGTTGTATATGTTATGATAACAGAGCATAATACTTTTTTAAGTTGCATTAAGCAGTGCTTATAAACTATACCTTTTTAAAGTTTAGCTTTTCAGTGTGCCTCAAAGTCTCTTACAGAATGTAATACAAAATGTCATACAGACCCATAAAATAATTCAGCCTTATAGGCTATGAAAATTTATAGATACACATAGCTAGAACTACATTTAACTCATGGCAGAAATTCTTCTGCCCTGACAGGGTATACATTCAGTTGGTTAGAGCATCATGCCTCTACGCCGAGGTTGTGGGTTCAATGACCAGTCAGGGCACATATAAGTGTCAACCAATGAATGCATGAATAAGTGAAACAATGTCTCTCTCTCTCTCTCTCTCTCTCTCTCTCTCTCTCTCTCTCTCTCTCTCTCTTCCCCCCCCCCGCCCCACTCCCTCTCTCTCATCAATACATTTTTTTAAATGTATAAAAGAAATTCCTCCTGATATTTTTTGGAATAGGAGGAAATTATTTCTTTATTCAATGATTTTATTTTTCTGAAGTACAGGCAAAAGGACAGAGGAGAAGCAACACACAGCACAGATATAAGGAAAGGAATGAAAACAGGTTGAAACAGTTTATCCTGGGTCCAACTTAATTAACTGCTGTTAGCTTAGGGCAACCGTCCTGCAAGCTTGAGCCCTGCCACACAAAGCAGGGCAGATCTGTGTTAAAGAATAACAAACCAAACTTACCTCAGGGATGGCGAGAAGCTTTGAGGAGCAGCTGACAGCGTTGCGAAGAGGAGGGATGACGCCAGCAGCAAGAAGTTCCTGAAGCCTGTGGGACACATGCTGAGCTCCCAGGCTGTGGAGGCCAGCGGAGCTTCTGCAAGGTGGGGCTCACAGTGGGAGGCTACAGGAGGGCGAGGTGCCACCAGCAGATGGCTGGGCAGACGGACTCACAGACACTCAGGCACTCAGGTCCGGGGCTCTACTGGAGCTGCAAGTGCCTTGATGAGCTGCCTGAGAAGATTTGGGCAGCGCCACCGCTCTGGGCGGGGTGCTTGTGCCAAACCCCTCAAGTGGAGAGTCTAGGCAGGAAAATAATTAGAAACAGTTGTGCAAGCAGATGGTTTATTTTGACATTTAAAAAGAAATGTCCTGTTTGGAGGCCTCAGAAATATTTGACGGGGGAATATTTGGGCTGGCTGATACTGAAGGGATACATAAACCCCAAAATGTCAGGGTAAGTGGGGGGGGCTAACAATGTCAGCATGTCAGCATGAACCCTTCGATAAGGAGTGATTCACCACATGAGTTTTAAGAGGCACTATTTGGAGTTGTGAGGGGCAAGCAAAATTGACAAACAAAACTTTTTCTTGTACTTTTTCCCTTTCTTTTAAATTGTGAGTTTTTCATTTCTTAAGCCTTTAAAAAGTATATCAAGATTCTAACTGTTCAAGCCAGTAGCTCATCACATCACATTTTTTCTTGACTTGGGAAGTTCAAATTGTGGTTGTCCCAAATTCACCCCATTCTCTTTCATGAATCAAGTACATGGAAACAAGATAAAATGTCTAATTACAATATCAGTTGTACTGAAAACTAATCAGTGTCATTTATTAAGCACCTACTATGTGTCAGTCAGTATATTTTATTTCTAATTGTCAAAATAATCCCACATTTGTCTACTCACTTAGCATACATGGATTTAGCATCTATTAGTTACCAGGCTCTGTGCCAGACAGAGAGGACACAACAGCAAAATAAGGAGACATGATCCCTCCTCTTGGAATCCAGTTGGTTAGTAGACTTTAATCAAAACAAAAACACAAATAAAAAAAGGACAAAGGACAAATGCAATAAAAAATGAATGCAGTTACTTCCAGATTAGCTAGAGGCACCTGATTTAATCAATATGGTGGTATTTGAGCTAATGGCTGAAGGATAAATAGAAGCAGTTGCGGGTAAATAGGCAAGAGGTAAAAGAGAGTGGGGAAGCATTCATATTTCCATTTTAAAGATCAAGAAACTGAGGGCAAAGAATAACCCTCTTGTACAAAAGTAACTGACTTGCTCAAAATCACACAGGAAGTTAAAATGTAGTTTCAGCTAAAATCTGTGGAAATGCTACACACTGTTTGCTACATTGTTGGTCATTTGGGAAAACTGTCTGGGAGGGTTAAAGGAAAACATTTTTCCTTTCCTCTAAAAAAAAGCACTTTAGATGGAATGTTTCCTCATGAATAGAACCATCCATGCTGTGATTCTATGACCTTAAAATCAGGAATAAACTATACCAGGACGGAATTTCTCCCGGTCATTTATATCAATAGATACAAAAGACCACCTCCAACATTTGCCTGCTGGAATAAGAAGGCTAATGAAAGTCCTCTGAACAGAACCCACTCCTTTCCTCTCGTTTCCTTAGTCTCCATCTGCACCAGAAGGGGCTCTGCCTGGAGCATACCCCAGCCCACACAGATAAGTGTCCTCCAAATGACTGGCCCTTTGTCAATACTCAGGACCAGGCTGGATTTATCATATGGGAGACATGTGCATAGGCCAAAAAGGGGTCTGGGGAGGAAATTCTTGGAGTTCTTGTTTAGGAGTAACATAGGCTCTTGCTTGGCAGGTTCTATGGATTACATGAACTATTCATCTTGTGGGGAAAGGGTGTTACTGGAGGAAAAACAGAGGGAGTCACTAAACCAGTCATACTCAAAGTGGGATCTGTAACCAGCAGCAGCAGGAGCAGCAGCAGCAGCAGCACCTGGGAACTTATTAGAAATGCAAGCACTCAGTTCCCAACCCAAGACCTACTGAATCATAAGGTGCATTTTAACAATATCCTGAGAAACCTATTTGTACATCATAATTGGAAAAACCTTGAAAAGCTCAGAGCTGAGGGTTTGAGGCCACCAATGCCTGGATCTAAGGGTGATGCAGTAACTCATAGTTCAAGTTCTGACATTATATTTGTTCCTAGACACATGTAACACTATGAGAACATAGGAACAGGCTCTCCTGCAAATGTCTACAGACCTTGGTGAGTCAGAGAATATGGGAATAGTAGAATGAAAGAAACATTTACAAAGCCTCACTAGGAATTTGCACTGAAAACATTAAGCTTCTAATAAATGAGTCACATATTACTTATTTTTACATATTTTCTGAGGGGAAAAAAAGAATTGTTGTAAAACTGGGACCTGATGTTTGAATATTTCTTTCATGAATCAAAATAATTTTTTTAACTTGTGGTAATTTCATACTGCGCAGTGTGCAATGAGGAATATTATCATTAAGAGTGTGCCACTGTGTCTCTGGCCAGATGGCTCAGTTGGTTGGTCTATGGGTGGGTCCCATACATCAAAAGGCTGCAGTTTCAATCCCCAAGAGGGGCACATAGGGGAGGCACCCAATCAATGTTTCTCATTCTCTCTCTCTCTCTTCCTCTCTCTCTAAAATTCAATAATCATATCATTGATATTCTTGGGTAAATTTTTTTTTAAAGAATGTACTGCTGTGAAGTAAAGATTGTATGTACTGGTGACTGAAAGCATTTAAATTTTCATATCATTATATTACTGTGACTCAGAAATAATATTCCCAGTAAGTTAAAATAGTTTTATTGTAACTGACTCAGTAGAAAGCCTTGGATCCACAAAAACTCTTTCAAAATAAAAAGACTAACTTAAAAATATCTCCTTTTAGCGAACTTTTTATTTGTGTTTTTGTTTTTTCTGCCAAAGTACTAAATGCCTTGGAATACCTATGATCTCCCATCTCCTAGTTTTCAGAAACCTCAAGAACACACATTCTAGTGAAAGCAGATGTAGAGCTCAGTTGCTGAGTGGAAGGTGCTGAGTTCCTCACTGACACTGAAGTTCCTGTGACAGCTCTGGGGAAAAGGCAGCAGGGTGGATACACAGTGGAGGGGGCCTGGGAGGACCCCTCACATGTGAAACCAAACTCAAAGAAATTGAAAACATCTTATTCTTTGAATGTAGTCCTTGACTCCTCAGGTCACAAAATCACAGAATATCAGGATTCAAGGAATTTTTTTTTTAAGGTCATCTAATCTACCCTGGCTGGGTAGCTTAATTGGTTAGAGAGTTATCCTTATATGCGAAGGTTACAGGTTTGATCCCTGGTCAGAGCACATACAAGAATCACCAATGAATGCATAAATAAATGAAACAACAAATGATGTTTCTCTTTCTCTAAAAAAAAATAAATAAATAAAAAGTACATAAAATTAAATAAAAGAACATCTAATCCAAAACTAAATTTGTTGACAATATACAATGCAACTGCCAAATGATTAGATAGATTCATTAAGAAAACATTCGGAGGAACATAACTCTTTCTAAGAGTAGCTCTGAAACTTTCATCCTTTGGTTTTGGATCTACTCCATAGTCTTAATGAAAATATTTTAAGTTATAATATGCATGTGTCTCAGTCCCATTATACTCCCCAAATGATTCTACAGTTCTCAAAATAAACTTTCTCATTTCTATCACTTCTTCCTTGTGTCTT